GCGCTTACGCCTGCTCGTAGCCGACCAACAAGCAACAAACTTAACTGTAAAACCAACTTCTCCGTGACCGTCAACACCGCAAAATGATCCTGATCCAAATACCCTTCAATTTCATTCAAAATTATCGAATTTGTCCTCATTCCAAAATTACCCCTTAAATAAATAATTTATTACCAAGAGCCGCCTCTCTCGGTCTCTTGCCAAAATTCAGCGATGGAAAACTTTAGCAACAGCAGTGCCCCAGAATTTGAATGTTGAAACTCGTAAAAAGCAAAATGACCAAAAACCCATATTCTAAAAGTCACAATAACGAATCCAAAGTAGATAATATTTGCACCTTCCTAATAAACCGTGCCGTTGTTTACACTTTACAACCAAATCAAATTTGATGAGATCAGATTGGCTAGAGGTCAGTCCATATTCTATCTAAATGGATCGAATTCGAATTTGGATAAACAGCCCATTTGTCTAGTACTCAGGTACGGGGCTGCAACTGCAAATGGGGTTGTGTAATTTGAGGAATTTCAACTACAATTATACTTAGATTAGGTTTGGACCATTGAAAATTTAACATATTTCCAGTCCGACCCGGCCCAAGTTGCAGCCGGTCAGTGAATCCAGTAACCCGGGTGGGTGAAAACGGGATGAGGACGAGGACAGGAGGCAGGCACAATTATCCCCTGTTCAACAATCAAAATTCAAGTCTATAAGAAGGGGGCATATATGTCATTTTGAGGGCAGCTCCAAAACAAGGGTCAAAAAGGTAAAACTACTTTTCCATTCAAGGCCTCCACTAGTCCACTGGAGAGAAAGTGAGCAAGCAGTCAATTTAAGGAATCCTTGTTTGGCTCTTGTGCCATTAAACGGTATAATTAAGTTGGTTCCATTACCCCCCCAGCGTTCACATTAAGACAGAAATAAATTAAATGAAGTGGTCAACAACAAAGCAAAAAAAAAAAACATATTAATATATCAGGCGTTTTCATATTATATATAGTCATTGATCTCAACCGTCCTAATGGAGGACCCCCTCTCCCCTCATTTGTTAGGGAGATCAAGTTGTCAGGATCGTTAACGCCTGAGGCTCAATTTGGAAGGAGTACAAAGGCACATATTTAGAATGTAAAACCTTATATTTTGTATTATTTTGTATGTATTTATGTTATATATATATTATTTGCATTTATATTATTTCGAAGGAGTATAAATACAATAAGTGTAAATGTATATAAAATAATGTAAAATATAAGGTTTTTTGCTCTGCATATTTGTATTTGTACTCCTTCCAAACTGAGCCTAAGGTTGTGTTTGATGAGTTTGAACCTCTCAAACAAAAGTAAAAGGAAATAAAGAAAAAATTCTGAGATCACAGCATCCAGCCACATATGGGAAATATGAATATCCCCTTTATATGTATGTTCAATTCATGGAAAGATATTATCAATTGGATGCCCTTATTTTTAGAGTGTTGGCATGGTTTTTGCTTTCAAAAGATCACACCTTGTTTAGGAGGTTTTTTCTCCTAAAGCACCAACTAGAGAACCTTTTGGGTGTTTGGTGGGATACTTCTTTAATGGACTGGATTTGGTCCAATCCGATCCAGTCCAATGTACGTCCATTACAAATGGACTAGGTCCAATCCAATCTAATAAATAATTTAGACCATTTGGACTGATCCAATTCAATGTTCAGACCGTCCAATTTGTTCAAATTCGTTTTAATTTAGATTAATTTTTCAATCCAAGCCCGGTCTATTGACACCTATATTCTTATCTTATATCAATTGACTGGATATTGATTTAATCCAACATAAATTTATTATGGACGGACTAGGTCTAGTTTAATCCAATAAATATTTTAGACCAGATTGGTCCAATCCATTATCTTTTTGGTATGTCCAATCCATCCAAAATTGCTTTTGGACTGGATGGGGTCCAGTCCAAAACCAGTCCATTAACGCCCTTATTTCCTAGAAAAAAAAAACTATAAGGTTTGTTTTTCGTTTTTGTTTTTGAAAAATTACTTTCTACTGCTTTTTCAAACACAATAAACCTGGTTCAAGGTATTGATACACCCCTATGTATTGGTACTTTTAAGTGATACCGCTTTTTTTTTTTTTCAAATTTCAATCTAAAGTATAATTTTATATATTATTTAATAAAAAAAGGGTTCATGAAAATACATGTAATTAGGTGTATCGAATACCCAAAAATACGATACAATGTGCCTGATACGAGATGTATGGTATTGAACCTTAGGGATAATGAACAGACGATTATAGGAGACTGGCCATGTAGGTGTGCATAATCTTCAACAACATTCTAGAATAATAGAATATTCCAAAGGTTGCTAAAATCTTCAGCCCTAGTCACCTTGGATGAAGATGCACGTAAAGAGGGGACCAGATACTAACCTATACGACAGTCTATATTGTTCCAAACATCAAGAATTACAAAGTTCCTAATCCCACTAGTCTCATGATGAGATTGGGTTTTGATAAAAAATTCAGATTTCATTCTCACAAAACCAGTCCGCACAACACTTTAGCCATGCATTTGGAATATTTTTCCATAAATGAAAACATACAAGTAGGGAAATATATCCATCCTCCTACAGAATTCACTTTTGCTCAAGCTCAACAAATTGTGCGAATCGAATAGGTGACTAAAAAGGGACTTTAGCTCAACAAATCGCAATGCTTTCTAATGGCTCTACAGTAATAAGCATGTCCACACCCTTACGAGGTGATTTTAGCTCCCTGGACGCAATAAGCACTTTTTAGAAGCCTCCCAAACGCAGCCTAAGTAATATGTAACAAGCGGTATATTTTGGGAAGAGAGAAGGGGCAATTAGGAAATTTGATCCGTATACGGTTCAAAAGAGTAGTCCAATATTGATCCAAAGAAGAGATATTTCCCACCACCTTCGGACCTTCCCTCCGCAATTCTCTATTCTCTAAATAGACCCATGAAGGAATCATGTATTCTTTCTTTCTCATATACTTCTACTGGTTATAAATAGATGGGAATGAGTCCTCACGAAACAGAGAAGGCGTGATTTCACTTTCTTTGCGTAACAGACTTTGAGAAGAAGCGATGGAACAGGGGTTACAGAGCAACAGCAACGACAAAGGCCATATGGACAGACCAGTTCACAGCCAAGTTCGAAAGATCAAGCAAGAATACCAGAATATCAAAGACCCATATCCACAACAGCTGGAGATCAGACCAGTTCTTCGGGAAATCACCCGCCACCTCTCGCCTTCGCCGCTGGGACGAGTTGGTCGAGCCATCTCGGTCGGAGACTCGTAGGATTTGATTCAAGATGGATGCGTCTGCCGTCTTTTTCTAGCACTAGGGACATGGAGCCTAGGTTTCTTGATTTTATTTCTCTGTCGTTGGTTTTCTTTTCGTCTGTAAAGACTGCTGATCGGTGCGGGGAAAATATCTTTTTGTATGATTTCCATGCTTTCTCAGTGTTAATTTGATGGATTGAGTAAGCAGCCTTATCTTCATTCCTGTCAGTTTTGTACAGAGGAACCAAATTATGGCAGGATATTACTGAACCCTGTTCTTCTGGTTCTGGGTTCTTTTCGTTTCACTTGAGTTCTCCGAACCAGCAATGTATATGGCTCCTTTTGGCTTTGTAGCTATAATTAGTGCATACTAGAGGTTGTGGGTTTTTTCCCCTGTTTTGCTTCTTTGTACAGTTCAGAGATTTCCTTCTGTGTTCTTATTTTGTATATAAGATTTCACTTGAAGAAGGAGAGAGAGAGAAAGAGAGAGACGTATTCTCAGAAATTCTTTCTGTGGCAAAGGGAAAAGGCAATTCTTTCCGTGCAATAACTTTCTATTACTTGATACGCAAATCTAGAGACACTACAGAAAGTTGAGGACAGTTTTTAAGGATAATTATGGGAATCGTTTCTCTTATCATCTATCAAACCAAACACAACTTTAATGCTTCTAAGCCAAAGTTTAAACCCCATGCGAATCTGGTTATTTAAGAAGTAAGGGTTTTCCTTCACTTCATTGTTATAGAAAAAAGCTTGATATAGCAGCTCTTTTCTTTCAATATTTAGTGTTATACACTTATACCAAAACATTTTTTTGTTTATAAGTAATATTAAAGATGCTTTATTCTTGCAGCCAGAGGAATCTTGGGTTTAGGGGCAAGGTTCAAAAGTATCACCGTCTCGTACCACATAATACATTTATTAATAATATGTATCAATTTTCATAGCCATGAATACAACAAGGGAGAATTCTTTTTTTAGATTTTGAGGGGGAAAAAGTTGGTCAATGGGATTTTGATTCTTATTTACTAAGAAACTCATGTTCTTTTTTTTCAGATTTATATGGGGGCCAGTAAAAGTTTATTTTTCTGAGTGTCACTTACCCGGAAAAGCATTCTTATTGACCCGGGTAAGTGATACCCATCTCGTAGGTAGATAAATAACTTTCTCACTTGGGGAAAATGACTAACACAGACAAAAATGCTCCTTTTAACAATGAATTTTTATAACTAAAATGATCATTGTCTTATTTATCTAGGAAATAAGAAATAAAAGAACATGAATAAATGCATTTAATTACCCAAATAAGTTATTACCCGGACAAATAACTTACCTAAAAGTAAACGGGGCCTAAGTACAAAGATTTATGCCAATTGAGCGTATTTAACAGGTAATAACTCTTCCTAGAGATGGCATGGTTCAAACTTCAAAGCTTGAAAGCTAAAACAATTTAAATTGCATATAATACATATGATATGATATTTGAACCATGGATTTGGGAATTCCCTCTTCTTGCCAAGGCATAGGAACGTTAGGCAGTAAATTTTATTGTTATTGGTGTACATTCCATAATGGCCCCAAGTCAAACCTGCCACTTGGGAGGGGAGAAAGGGCCATTTTTGGATATGGCCGTCCCAATTCATGAATCCTATTTAATCAAAATGCATCTTGCCAGCATATACTCTCAACAAAATAGCAGCTATTATTAACCCAAATGTGAAATTGAAATACCATAAGTAAAATATTAATGATTATTAGCTATGCCAGCCAAAATTTTCTGAAACATATCAACAATGAAGTAATTGTATGCTGGGGAAATGGAATAAAATAGAATGTAGCCAGAGTTGTAGAAAACTATGTCTATCTCAAGAATATCAACCCTGGGCTATGGCTGTTTCCTTGGACAACAGTATCTTCACCCGCCGGGTCAGGTCTCTCATCACATCTATGATCACAGATTTCTTCTGGACCCGGAATTGGATAGCCAATTCAGTTGGGCCAGAGGCACCTTTCAGCAATGATTCGTCCTCCATTATTTTGGTTGGGAAATGCCCTAGTGCAATCACACATAAAGCAATAACAGTGCGAAGAGCGGCTACTTCATTTGATATCCCAAGTGGGGCTTCTGCTGTTAACGACTTCAGTGTACTCAGATCGTGCTTCTGTACTGTTTCCATGTCATTCGCAAGGAGTACTCTTAAGGCAGCTAATAAGCGGCCCTCCACTAATTCAGTCCCCCCTAAGCTTACCTGTGAACCCCCTCCCCCAAAAAGAAACAAAAAAAAAACAATAAAGAGGAAAACAGTAAGTCAATCTCTTCAAGAATATGAGGTCAGTCTCTTGGAAATCTGAATGAAAACAACAAAAGTCGGGAGTAAAGCAACCTTGAGAAGGGCATCTTCGCCTTGTAAATTCAGCTGAGCTAGAATTTGTTGCTGCCATTGGGTAGGTGAAGAGAAGTTAGGGGATGAAACCCCAGCAGCCATGCTTGCTGCATCTAAAAGAGCTCCATCATACCTGAGCTCAATACAGTCATAGGGGTTTGATAGGATCACAAATCCATAATCTAGAAGAAAAAGGTCATTGTTCAAGCAACCATAATCAAGAAGTATTGTGTCATCTCGTTTGATGTGTGCTTCCGCTACAACCTGGTCCAGGCAGAGCAAACGAACTCAATTGATATGTAGGATAAAAAAAAAAAAGAAAAAATAAAATAGAAGAATAAAATAGAAAAGAACATGGTTAAGTTTCCCTCAAAAAAAAATAAAATAGAACATAGGAAAAAAAAGGCAAAGGCAAGAAATTACATTTAAACTCAAAAAAAAAAAAAGAACATGGTGATTAGACAAATTTTAAACACATGCAAAAAAGAAAACCTGCCTTCACTAACATGTTGGAGTTCCTTATATTTTTTTCCTGTACAATCTGAGCATTTGGATTGAAGCTATGGTTGCACATGTCAATGAGAGGAAGCATCATTGGGATATCAGCATGGGTTCCATCTGGGATCTGTTCACCATGTAAACGGAATGCCCGAGAAGATACTGCTGACATGGCCCAGCCAAGTGAAGATGCATCTATATTTTGGCCCCCAAAAGGATGATCCTCTGGTCTCACGTTCTCAAGTGCATCTTTCATTGCTCTCTCAAAATCAAGAAGAAACCGACATCTCTTATTTACCTGGTGAAAAAAGTTAAAATCATTCCATATATTAACTTTCCAAGTTTCCATTGCATTAATTTGAAATAAATTTATTCAGGAGAAAGGACATTTAAGGTCATCAATTCCAATACCTGGTAAAGAAGAGGAGCATACTGCAGGTTCTTTATGTCATCCCCAGGAAAGAAAATGGGTACACTGTAAGTTTCAGGAAGATTGCTGATGTATGGCCACCAGAAGGAACCAACCTTAGCTCTTTCTTGAAGAAGCTTCAAGCCCAATCTCATTGCCCACAGTTCCTCTGCGACATACTCCTTATATTGAAAACTCATACTAGCCTAGTTTGCAAAAGTAAAAGTCACCACCCTATCCTGAGGAAAGGGGAAATAGCATGTTTTCTATACAATACCTGGGACTTTCTGTTTTCAAAGCACTGTACACATTTCTAGTAGGAAAGGGGAGAAAAGCCAATTGCATTCCTCTTTAATAAGTTCTGATTTCACTATATAAACTATTGGTGCTAATATATACACTAGAGGAGGATACATGCAATACTGCATTAAAGGAAGTGAGAGTATGGCCCCCTTTAGGTGGATATACATCCAGCAGTGGTCCCTGATCTTCTAAATATCCAATTCATCCAAAGTTATGATTATGAACACCAAAACTACAATCACTGGCCCCATGTCAAAGAACCCTAGGATGTAGTTTTGGATGAACTTCTCACCATCAACCACTAATTTCTCAAAATATGTCCTCTACAAAATATGTATCATGTGGGTTTAGGAGATGTCAGATTATGTCACTTAGATGTGCCTCTCTTGTTTGGAAGGTGACCTATAGTAAAATTAGTAAATATGGCTTGCTACATAAACCCCAATGCCTGTACAATGTGCCTTAGAGATGGGGAGTTCGCCAACCACCACTTAAATTGATACAAACCAGTAAGATTTGGCACTTCTTCCTCGACTTGGTGGATTGTGAAAGGGTAGCCACAGACAATTTTACTGACATAAGTCTGGGTATGAACTCTACATTTTTAGCACTGATCCCAAACAAGAACAATGCCAACCAGCTAGGGGATTTCAGACCAATAAGTCTAGTCACCAGTATTTACAAGGTGATAGCAAAGGTGTTGTTTCTGAGGATTAAGAAGGTGATCCCCCCACTACTATATCAGTCTCAAGGGGCCTTTGTACAGGATAGACAGATTATTGATCAAATCTTAATTGCCAATAAATGTGTGGAGACTCAAAAGAGACTACAGAGGAAAGAAGTGTCTATCAAACTGGATTTGGAAAAAGCCTATGATTTGGTGGATTGGAACTTCTTGATTGATATTATGAGGTGTAGCTTGGGAAATTTGTGGTGTAAATGGATCAAGGGCTGCTTACAAACTAGTCACTACTCAGTCATAGTTAATGGGACGGTGTATGATTTCTTTAAGGGATTCCATGGGCTTAGGTAGGGTGACCCCCTTTCTCCCTTCCTATTTACTTTGATTGCTGAAGCCCTAAGTAAATTGATTTCGAGAGCAAATTGTCCGTAGCTATTCAGAGGTTGGTCAGTGGGGAGGGATAATGTTTTGGTCACTCACTTGCAGTTTGCAGATGATATTCTGATTTTTTTGTGATGGAGATTGTAGGGAGGGAGTGGAAAATTTAAGGCTAGTTGTGAAACTCTTTAAGAGGACGTCTAATTTGAGGATTAATTGGTCAAAGAGCTTATTGGTTGGAATTCATCAAAAAAAAAAAGAAAACGAGCTTATTGGTTGGAACCAACATTGAAAAGGATGAGTTAAGGTTTCTGGCAAATTCCCCAAGTTGTGAGAAAGGAGAGTGACCATTGAAATACTTAGGCTTACCCCTAGGAGATAACCCTATATCTGCTTGTTTTTTGTCTCCGATGGTGGAAAGAATCGAGAAATGCTTGGCAGGGTGGAAAAGGAACTATATCTTGTTGGGGTGGGGTGGGGTGGTGGGAGAATAACTCTTATTAAATCTACCCTAGCAAATCTTCTAGTGTACTCATAGTTGTCTAGGCGACAAGGCGCCCTTGGAGGCTCGCCTCGCCCAATCGCTAGGTACTTTTGTGCACTATGTTATAAAATACTTTTATATTTTTTATTTTTTGACATTATAATTATAAAATAGGCATTGTTAAACTAGAATACTCATTTTATGTGTTTATGTACTAATTTCTTTTTATTATTTTCTTATTTGTTAGGGTTTAATCAACACAAACATTGCTAACTGCTGTATTGAACCCATGGTTCAAAGTATTGATACACCTCTGTGTATCGGCAGAGGTGTATCAGTACTTATAATGATAGTCCCCCTATTTTTTTATTTCTTTGGTTTTCAATTTCATTTTTAAATATATATATTATTTTAAAAAATGGGTTCCCGAAAACACCTGTAAACATGTTTATTGGGGCACCAAAGATACAATACAATACACCCAATACAAAGCATATCGTATTGAAGTTTTGATCCTTGATTGAATCCTCAAAGATTTCAAAACTCGAACCAATTAGCAAGGGAAGAACTTAAAATTTTGTCTAATCAACACATTTTCTTCTTACAGATCATCTTCTTCTTCCACCTTTTCTTTTCTTCTTTACCTATAACAGAAGTAGGGGTACAGCCCCTATATTTTTTTAATTTTCTTTCCTTTGTTCCTTTTCTTCTCATAAAATGTTGATTTTCTAAACTTAAAACATGAAATTTATACTTCTCTTATGAAAATTATGGATAATTATTAAGGAAAGATGGTTATGGAACCTATGGAACCATATACACTTATAGGATATATGGTTTAACTTAAAAAAAATCCATCGCCTAGGCGACTAGGCAACAAGGCGCCCCCCTGTCGCCTAGCCTCGCCTTGGCGCCTTAAAAACTATGAGTGTACTACATGCCAATGTTCAGGATGCTGCCAGGGGGAAAAAAAAAGAAAGATCATTTGGTTAGATGGAAAAAAGTGGTGAAATTGAAGGAAGAAGGGGGTTTGGGAATTGGTAATGTTAGGTTGAAGAATCAGGCATTGCTTAGCAAATGGCTTTGGAGGTTTCTAAACGAAAATGAGAAATTATGGCACAAAGTTGTTGCAAGCATTCATGGCATGTCGAGAAACGGATGGGATGTTGGATGTCTCCGTAGAGCTACCTTGGCTGCTCCGTGGAATGTCATCCATGATTTTCTCCCTACTTTCTTAAATCATATCAGGTATGACTTGTCTTCTGGTAGTAAAATCAGATTTTGAGAGGATGCGTGGATTGGGGATACCCCTTTGGGTGAGAAATTTCCTTCTCTTTTTGATCTTTCTAGGTTCAAGGGTAGGCCAATTTCAGATTTTCTAAGCCAACATTCTCACCTTCTAGGGTTGAATTGGAACTTTGGCTTTAACAAGAACCATAGAGAGTCTGAACTTCTTGCAGTGTTCAAGCTGTTAGGCTTGCTGAATTCAATGTTCTTGGGAAAAGGTGGGTCAGATTCTACAATTTGGGGTCCTAATTCTGACGGGCCGTTTTCTTGTAAATCCTTTCCACACTCGATTGCCACCTCCTCCTTTCATCCTTTCCCAGTCAAAGAAATTTGGTGCTCTCTCATCCCCCCTAAAATCAGTGCTTTTTGCTGGGAAGTATTTCATGATTGTATTAATACCTATGTTGTACTTCAAAGAAAAAGACCAAATTGGTGTTTGTCCCCCAACTGGTGTGTCCTGTGTAAGTTGAATGGTGAGACCGCTTTCCACCTTATAATATCTTGTCCTTCTGTCAATTTTATTAGGAATTGGTTTGCTTCCCTTTTTGGGTACAGGTGGTCTTCTCCTGACAGATTGGAGGGTTTATACAACCCTATTACTGGCACTAAAAGGAGGGGTAGGATCCTGTGGAAATGTACTAGAGCAGCACTACTTTGGACTGTTTGGGAGGAAAGAAATGCAAGAATATTTGAAGGAAAAGAAAAATGCAAGGAAGCCTTGGTCGAAACAATAACATTGAAGGTGGCACATTGGGCAAAAAACTTGAAGTTGTTTTTAGGTTTTAAGGTCGAAGACTTTTTTAGGGTTTGGAGACTTATTGCTGCCTCATAATGTACAAGACAGCAATTTTTTGAGGCATGGTCTCCTCCAACAGATGGCTGGAAGAAGCTGAACTTTGATGGGAATTGTGTGGGTAATCCAGGCCCCTCAGGGGGCCATTAGAGATGAAAATGGAAACATCATTGCTCTGTACTTTGGTCCTGTGGAGTAAGGTGGTGTGGCAAGGGCAGAGTTTCTAGCTGCAGCATATGGGGTTGAGAAGGCTAAAGAGTTGGGTATTAATAGATTGATCATCGAGGGAGACTCAGAAACTATGATAAAATGGTTGCAAAAGGGAGGAGTGACACGGCAACTGAAGAATGAATTCCGAAGATTTAAATGGTTGTCAAGGGACATGTCAATCCAGGTGGGATGGGTGAGGAGATCTGCCGACAGTTTGGCAGATAACTTAACAAAGCAAGGGGTTCAAAGAACACGTATGTTTTGGGCACATTTGTAATTCTGTCTTGGGTCAGCTTACTAAAGCTGGTTTCTTTCACAACTTCTTTTTGTATCCGCATTTATTTTTATAATTAATGAAACCATTTCAGAGTTATTGATAAAAAAAAAAGGTTTATTTAAGCATCATTTAAGAGGTAATGTGGACAATATGGGGAGAGAAAGAGGTATATCTTTGAAAACAAGTTCTAATTTGAGGTTTTTAAGGGGAAGAGGCATCTCTCTTCTAAACTTCTGGGTGACACTTAAAGACCAAGAGACTGACATGTAAATGATCAGCTACATTTTTTTTTTTTTTTGATCAATAACACTTTCATTAATCATCAGTAGAAAATTTACAGGAGGAAGATAAACACACTTATCTTCCAAGAGTCACTAAGAGC